TAAACTCATTGTAGCAACCTACTGAGCCTTTATGGGTTATGCCAACCCACACATTTGTACTCAATCAGAAGTTCAGTTGGCTTGAGGACCCCTAAACTTGTGTTGAGTACTGAAGGCAGGACACCCTTGGTGGGAAATGTGCCTGTAACCTATGGGATGTATTCTAACTCTGGACAGTTAGTGCCAGAATTGCATAGCAGTATTGTACTGAAAAAATCTGTAGACCTCTTTAGCGGCATGCCATCATCTATGTATATATATATATATATATATATATATATATATATATATATATTCTGCAAGGTAGAAGTTTAATGATTGAATATGTATATCAGCAAAATACCTGGTATATCCAACAAATTGCATGCTCAGAAATACTTGTAGCAGCATGTTTACCAAGATTCAAGGGCTGGAGACATAGTTCAGTTGCCCAGAATTTGGATGTTAGCTGGCTTTCCTGTCTGCTACTTGTGTGAAATTGGGAAAATAACAACAAAAAAAAGATTCAGTAAGTTAGGACAGAAGTGATGCTTATCACCATCAAACACACAGTAAGTGTCCTCAAGTATAACCTTTATAGTTATTGTTACTGTTTGTCATTATACAGAAATATCTGCTAAAAGAGATGACCTGTATATTTCTGACTTCTAAACTCTTGGCATTTGTGCTCTTATTCTTTGATTTAAAAGATGAAAACCACATAATAATAGGATAGAAGAAAATGTCCCTTAGAACAGGAGGAAGTGTAAACTCAGGGTTAAACTTCTTTCTTGCTGAAAATACAAAAAAAAAAAAAAAAAAAAAAAAAAAAAAAAAAAAGGTCCTGGAGAAGAAAATCTGGAGCTGCATGCAGCTCTTGCCCCTGAGACATGCCCCATGCATGCTTATTTATAAACCCATTTAGAGAATGCCCCAAGGGGAAGTGGTGAAAACCTAGACCTTAGATAGAAATGCAAAGTCCTTAAACCTGAAGTGAAGAAAAACATATTCATTTGGTTTCAAATAAAGCCACAGGCTGAGTTTAAAATTGAATTTTAGAGCATATCAATAGGTAGTGTAGCTCTCTTTGCTGTGGTGTGTTTGTATTAGATCATGGATTTAAAATTCTGCTATTCAGGACACTCCAATTTGGAAATTAGACAAATATGTCATAAACTGTTATGTAGAATATTTTTCACTGAATGCTACATGGCTTAGGTGGATTGTGTCTGAAAATTTTAGGCATCTGAGTCCTACGTATCAATTTTTCTTTAGTGTCTTTGCTGTTATAGAATACTTTATATTTTATTCATGTTTTGAAATGATTTTCTCTCTCAGATCACTGTTTTCTAAACTGAATGCATTGATTATTATGCTAAATTTGAAAACAAAGACCAGCAAATCACTAATTATATTACCTTATAAATTATAAAATATTTGCATTGTATATTTCAGAATTTTAATATTATATTATGTATTGTGGCTAATACCAGGATTTTCTTCCACTTATGTGACCCTTGTCTACCATACATATTGGCCTTACTTTCCACTAATTTTGCAGAGAAACTTCTGATGATAACAGGCACACATACAATAGAATGTGATTATTCTGAGAGAATGCATCTGCTGGTTCATAGGGAAGAACTAACAAATGTGACTCTCTTTCCATGCAAGTCATTTGATTATAATGCTAAATAATTGTAACTTCAGGCAAAATGATAAAGTTGGCTGTGCATACATTCCTAGATTTGATAATAGATGTTACTTTTAGTTACACAGTGTGTAGTGTCATTTAATGAAGCATTTAACAATGGAACTGGTTACTGTTTAGACTTTGTTGTTTTATAAATGCTCTCTGAAAATGGTCACACACAGATATAATACCTCTTAGATTATTCATTTTCAATAAAATATATTTAAAACTTTTATCATTTTGTTACACTAGATTCTTAAAGTGATAAAAGATAATTAATTTTGGTGCACTATTTATGATTTGTGAAACACATCTGTAAAATGTAATTTTATTAAAGTTTTTTTTTCCCTTAAGTATACTGGGAAATGAAATTTTTTTCTGAACAATGCACCACTTTGCATTTTATAATCTGATTTTATAGCCACAATGATCAGAACATTATTCAATTCAAACAAAAGAATTTAATCTGGAGAATATGTCACATTTGCATGAAACACCTAGTTCCAAAATACCTCCTACATAAATTTGGGTTGAATGCAGTCACTGCTTCCCAGTGTATTGAAAAACCAAAATAATATCCTTCTCACTAATAAGATTTAAAAAAAAAAAAAAAAAACCCTCAGCTCCAGGTATTTTTAAGAAGTATTTATAATATAAGTATGCAGTATATATATATATATATATATATATATATATATATATATATATTTCAAAGTATCACTATAAGAAAATTTTAATATTCTTAAACAAGTTGTAAGTATAAATCACCTTATTCTCTGATGTACAGAACATTTAAACAGAAGACAATGACACAACTACCTTTAGGTTGATTACAGCTTTCTACTTTTTTTTCTTTTTTAGCTTATAGCCGAAAGGCAAATATCTCTGTAGTTGTTATGGAAGTTTGTGGTGGTGTTTTAAAAGCGACATGAGAATGACCTTTGGGTGAGAATGAAAGCTGGTAAAACAACTTGAACACACACATTTGTGTTGCTCCTGGGTGGCTCCCATTCTCCCCGTTGTTAATTTGGTTTTATGGAAATAAAGATGAGGTGAGGTTGAGGGAGTTTGGAAGCTTGGTTTAGATGGAATAATGGCAGTATGTATACAGAACCGTCCTGATCCATGTTCTGTAACCTTTCACACTGCTGTCATGAAACTGTCCCATGGGATACTGTAATTTTGTTTTTAATATTTGGATTAAGACACTGAATTGAATTTAAAAATGAGTTCAAGTTGTTAAGACAAATAATTCAAATCTCCATTAACTGGCAAATGTATAAAAATATTTGAATATGCTATACAAAAAAATACTACTCACTGATACAAAGGACTAATTTAGTGAAACATGAGAGTCAGAATTCCAGATAGAAAGTGTATCAGCAGCTTCAGGGATTTTGATTGGCAGTAGTGGGCAGAGACAGACTACAGAGCAAAAGGAGGATACTTTTCCAGGTAGCAGAAATGTTCTGTTCAATAATTATTTGTGGCTACACCCATTTTTTCACACCTTACTAAATTGAACACTTAATATTGGTGAATTTTATTGCATCTATCATTCTAAATAAAAAGTGATTTAAAAGATAGTAGGATAGAACTCAATAATAAAAAAAGGCTCTTAAACTTTTTATTTCTTGTAAGTGTTTATAAAAATCAAAGAGACAACCTGAGTTTCATCCAGAATCTGGCCAAGGATTAATACAACACAATAAAATTAACAGTTAAAGAAAGATAAGAACTAATATATGCATGAATTCCCCTGGTTCACTGTTAACTGTCAAATATGCAAACACCTAGCCTGATGTATAGCACCTAGAAGGCACTAAAATGAATACTGACTGCTATGATTTCTACAGCTGCAGTTGTTATTTAGAAAAGAATGTTAAACATTTCTAGACAACATAATAAGGAGAAGTGAATACACAACACACAGAAACTCTTTCCTCTCTACAAATTACCTGGTTCCAATGATCTGAAATGTGCAATAGCTAGTGGAATGTATCAATGTCTTGTTTAGAGAAATTGATTAACTATAATACAGTGTATTATGCATTATTTCTTAGGCATGTTTAGGGTGTGTGTTTGAAATCATTGAGTTGTCTCAAGCTAAGGTGAGGACTGTCACAGGAACTTGAATATGATGAATTAAATTTTCTATGTTTACACACCTTTAACAGAAATCATAGATATCTATATTACTTACATATAATATATTAACCTATATAACATGTGTAGTATATATATAATGCCTATCATTCTATAATACATATGTTAACCCAGTGTATTATGTAGCATACATTGTAATATGTGAGTGAAATAATTTTGAAATATTTTTGACCACATGAGAAATTGGAAGGATGCCAACAGTGACTACAGGAATGTGAGGATCATGTTACTCTTTATCTTCATATGCTACAGTGCAGTAAATATAGCAGTCAGAATCTATTGATTGCTCAATGCACATAGACCTGATTATGTAAAATCAGTTTCATAAATTTTTGCATATAATTCTCATCCCAAATTTAAGAGACGATGAAAAAGTTTACATAAGAATTAAGAAGCAAGTCATCTGACTCTAACAATTGTGAACCAATGGTATGAATCACAGGACAAAGTTTCGTAAAGGGATATAGATTTTAGCAGAGTTGGATTGCTAACATTATGTTTTATTTGTACTTGTTCTGTACTGGAATGAGATGAGAAGAGAAAACTGGTATCTGGTTTAAACTTTCTAAAACTTCCATTAGATTCATAAGATATCAGTATACATTAGGTGATCAATAAATGATTGCTAAATGACTTAATTAAAAGCTCTCTCTATATATACATATATATATACATGTATATTTGTGTGTTATATATCTAGAGTCTAAAATATATAAATATACTTTGCAGTTAGAGTTGAATCAAGGTGTGTAATTTATTTTGTAGTTTCTCAACTAACAAAATACATCTTGAAATCTACTTTAGACAGTGGTGTCTAGTTAATGTGTTAGATTGTTAGTATTAGCAAGAACTTGGGCTTTGTTAAACTTGTAATTGTGTTTAACATTGTCAAATTGCAACAGTTTTTGATCAGAAAATAGAAAGGCGCTTAATATGCAGACTCTAAGGGATACATTTATCATTTCCTATCATACTGAGCTTCAGGGCTATTGTTATCTGGTTTCCAAAAAAGTAGAAAATGCCTTTCTTACAATACAAACATTCTTTATAATGTGAGTGGTAGATTGAAGCTGTACAGATTGGCTCTTTTTAATGAAATAGGCAACATTTCAATGAAACTGAAAGCTTTATTGTTATTTGTTGTATTTTTTTCTCATTACAGATGGACCCAATTCAGAAAGCTGTAATAAATCATACATTCGGAGTTCCTCTTCCTCATCGAAGAAAGCAAATCATATCATGCAACATTTGCCAGTTGAGATTTAATTCTGATGTAAGTTTAGCATTCAATATTTACTATAAAATGTATTATGTGGTTCTAATCTTGCAGAAGAAAGTATTTCTTAAACATTTTTATCCAATAACTGAGCATGTCAAAATTCAAAGATAGGATTTAACTCTGTACATGCTTTAACTTCGGAGTTTTAGTTGTTTACCATAGAAAATCACATATATACAGTTTTATATACTAGCAATTTAATATATACTAGTGATTTAATATATTTTTCAGTGCCTTATGGATGATAGCTGTAGATAATATAGTCTTTGAGGAATAGTTAATTTTAAAAGCAATGCAGTTTCCAATATATTATATATCCAAAATAAGATAGATACCAAATCACATTCAAAAACCAAGATTTCAGCTTTCTGAACTTTCTTTGTCTGCCATTGTGGTCACTAAGATCAGCTCTGCATCCTAAATTTTGTGTTAGAATTGTCTCGTTACTGTCCTAACAGTACTAGTAACTTAATAGGGAATCCTGAAGGCCTCAATTCACTGAGCCCCTAAAAGAATAATGCTTATATGGAGAACATGATACAAAGGAAAAATCTATGGACCTGACCAGTGATATGCAAATTACTGATAAGGTTACTCACATCTTTTATACCTTCTGTAAGAATCAGCACAGACTCTGGATACATCTGGATAATTCTGACTTGTAGACAATAATAAAAAAATTTTATGATGCCACTTCCACCTCTAAACCTGCCTTAGTATGCGTTTACTTGAATGCAAAAAAGAGGTAATATTGATTTGCAAAGAATAGGAAGTGGACACTAGAAGCAGATGAAGGTACTGTGCGCTCAAAGTGGCCTTTCTTCAGGTGCCATCAACTTGTCATAAGTTGAAGGACAGCATGGAGATACCCAAGTGTAGACTCCATAGAATATTAACCTTTCCAGTATTTGATCTCCACAGATAAGTAACTTGGGCCACTCTGGCATGAGCATAGGATACGAGATAGTTAGGTATATATAGGAAAAAACTATGACATGAAGAATGTGGTCTGTCTGCTGTGAGAACATTTCATGCCATATAAAGATTGTTGTAGTTTTATGAACTTAAACCTATGTATGAATGCAATTAAATCATTCCTTCTGTTGGCTTAAAAAAATACTGCTTTCTTTTGATTTTATCCTTAAATTGTATTCACATTTCACCTTGAAACTCATCAGATAGTGATTGTAAAGTCTCCCAAAAATCTACTTAGCCAGGTGTTTACATGTGATGATACTACTTCAGATAATCTTCCTGCCAGTGATTTCACTGTCAGTATTTTCCACTGTATCAGGAGAATTGCTGTAAATTAGGAGTCTGAGAGGGGTTTTAAGATCATTGCATCAAATCTTCTGCTGATGGCACGAATCTTGTCTGGTACATCTAGGCTAGGTTTCAGATGATTATTCCCACTGATGGACCACTCACCACTTCCAGGCAGTGACTCCATTTCCGTTTGCTGAGTATTTCTAATCCTGTAAATTGATGCTACAATGATATTTGGGAACTAGAAATAGTGTCATGTATACTTTAGATAACATACACAGTTACATATATTTATTTCCTTAATAAGAGAGAGTAGCAATTTATTTTGCTAATTAAGTTTCACAGTGACATAGGACTCAGTATGTACTAATTAGTGACTAATGGCTTGTGTTCTCACAACTTTGCTTTGAGGTCTATCTGGCATATAGTAAAAGGACAAAGGTCAAGATACTCTTCATTAATCGCCTTATTGTTTCTTAACAAATATACACACCTAGTGGTTTGAAATAACACAACTATATTACCTGATAGTTATGGAGACATGAAGTCTGAAATGGGTCTAGCTGGGATACAATCAGGCTGTTGGTGGGCTCTGTGTCTTCTGGAGGCTGTAGAGAAGGTTCCAGTTCCTTACTGTTTATAATTTCTGCAGTACTGTGGAAGTGTTTCTTTGCTTGTGAGACCCTCTCATCTCCCAAGATTAAAATGACTCAATTAGTCAATTGAGTCTTTCTCACCACTGATCTGACTATTGATCTTGTGATCACAGTGTACCACCTGGATAATCCAGAATAATTTCTCTTCTTTAAATTCCCCTAATTAGCACTCTTAAGTCTATATTCTCACATAAGCCCCCTTTATCATGTGTCACATGAACTAAATATCATGCCTATTTAATTTGTTAGAGGTTGGGGATATAGCTCAACAGCATAAGCGCTTGCCTGCTAAGTGCAAGGTCCTGAGTTTGATTCCAAGTGCTCCAAAAAATAAAAATAAAAGTAAAATTTGTTAGATAATTACCCAGTCAAGTTTCTTAGTTCTATGCTATATAAATTGAGAATATATGAATCCATGTTGCTTACATTTTTTCTTTATCTTGAGTTTTGGTTGTAAATCTAATATGCAGAGCTATTTTTAAATATTTCTATTAAAATAGAACTATCCAACATTCACATTTTAAATGTCATTTTTTTTTTTTTTTACTTTTTATCGGTACTAGGGATCGAACTCACAACTGCCTGCTTGCAAAGCAGCTGCTTATGCCGCCAAGCTAAATCCCCATCCCCTTAAATGTCATAATATTTTAACTGTTTGGCAAATAGAACATAATCATTGCAGAATTAAAATACAGCAGTAGAAATTCTGCAAGAGTTGAAAACTTCCTTTGTATACTTATTAAGTCCATAAGAGCAACTAATAAGGCTAGAAATAGTATATTTATTTACTTAGTGACCAATCATGTCTATACATAGTAATTCTGCAAAATTCTTACAGATATTGAATAACAAGATTAATTAGATTCATCAACTGATCTATGTATAAGAAAATAATCCCTATGTAAAGAAAAATCAAAATTAAAATACAAATGTATATCATATTAGATTACTTTAATCTCAAGAAAAAGCTTTCTAATTCCAGTACAACCGCCCTTTTGCTCTAAGTAGAAGTAAATCTAACTTTTGTCTCTTTGTTTCCATTTTTCAGCCTAAAATCATTATAGAGAAACAACACTGTTATTCAGTCATATGCTTCATTGATTCCTGTATCACATAGGAGAGTGTATTTGCCTTATGAACATTTTATATTTCAAGGCCTTTTCTCCTTTCAGTAAAAATAATAGCTTGTAGTTCTTTTCATCTCTAGTTCATAAAAATTCAATTTCCACTCCCTCTAAGCTTTTATTTCTAGCCCTTTATATTATAAGCCATGTAGCTTAATATTTTATTCATAGTATCCATAAACAAGTGATTTAATATAATAAAGATGCAGGTTCTGTTTTTTTTTTCTTTCTAAGTGACCAACTTAGAGAATAAAACTTTCTTAACATCATGTTTTAAGACACCTTTTTAAGATTTAAATCAACATTGTTTGTGGGGCTGATATGTAAAGGCAATACTACTTAAATATACAAAAAAATCCACAAATTATAATGGTTGTCGTGTTGGGGTCAAACAGCTGCTCTTTTCTCTTTCTTATTTTTCTTTATTTTCTACATTTCTCTTGCAGGCATGCTTGAGTATTATATGAGAAAAAGGAATCATTATGTCTGCTATCTTTTTGTAGTTTTTAAACCGTGTGTTTCTTTTCTAATTATAAATTCTATTTTTAATGTCTGTTACAAATTTCTAAATATTTCTTCTTCATTTTGGCATTGCCTGTGATCTGAAAACATGCCCATGAGGGCTCACAAATGTTATTCTCCCCACATTTTGATTTCATAATTTTATTTAATATTCCAGGAGAAATGCTACTAAAAATCTGTGCATTTAGCAGGTGCATCAAATTCCAAATCAGAAGGCAGCATGGAGAGAGGCAGAGTGGAAATCATCAATTAGGAATTAGACAACTTCCTGTCTATAGCTGCCTTCTATTCAGGAATGTGGTTTTGGATCTTTCTTTGGACTTCCAGTTTCCACAATCATCTAATTTCAGAGGACTAGCCATACTTTCAGTTATCTAGGAATTAAATAAAATATGACATGTAAGCTATTGCATTCTAAACTGTATAGTAAATTAAATTGAAAGGTCCATTTTTATTTCGTGGAATAAATAATGTCAAGTTTTTTCCCTTGGAATATTAAATTACTTTTTAAAGAAATACCAAGATTTGAAAATACCTTTTCCATTAAAAAATATTTAAAGGCTCCCACTGTGTTTAAAATGTTTTTATTTAGTACATTTACTCTGTTGATATGAGGTATTCATTCCTGATAAATCTTTACCTTTTAAAATGTTATTGAGAAAACTGTATCTATTAAAAACTCAACTTCTTCAAGCCCATTGTTGACATTGCTATGTTCCAAAACATTTTCAGACGCATTCAGACATAAATTAAATTTTTAGCAGTTTAAAATATCTCTTTAATAAGCAAATGTCCTCTGCTAGATTTTAGGATCCATAGAGTTATTTGGGTCTTTGGCCTGACCCTACAGGCCTTCCCACTGGGTGCTTTCTCTTCTTCAACAGCAGTTTTTGTCAAGGCCATTTGGACTGAATGAGAGCAGAGACACATGCAGAGGCTGCTGAGGTTGAGTTGGGCTGTCAGGTCACTTCCAGGCTGAGGGCCTAGCTGGGAAGAGTGTGCTGAGGCATGTAGGCTGTCTGTGTTTGAAGCACATGAGTAGGTTGTCTCTTTTGAAGGACCTGTCCTGCAAGTGTACACTTTGGCACATTTCTTCCCTCAATCATACTAGCTTATATTTCTTAGATGTAACCTACAATTATGTCAGAAAAACTTCAGAAAACAAAACTTAAGCATAAGGACCAAACATAAAATGTTAGAGATTCAGAAAAAAACAAGCCAGCCAAAAGCATCTGGATATATAAGGGAAAACAGACCTCCAAATTTTGGGATATTTGTGATACTCTGACTCAAGCACTGATAATCTAGGTATTTTTTTTCTGGGAATGGAATACATGATAAGAGACTGGGAAAAAATTGTACAGTCTTTATTTGTGTTTTTTCTGTATTATCAAACAAAATAATGAAATGCATGTTTCTGTCAACT